TTATACACACAAATATTATATAAAAATAATATGTATGTATATATATATATATATATATAATATACATATATACATATACATACAGCACACACACATACACACACATACATATACATATATATGTACATACGTATATACATACATACACACATACATACACGCATACATATATATATATATATATAAATATGTATGTATGTATGTATGTATGTATGCATGTATATATACATACATACATATATATATATATATATATACATATATATATACATATATATATATATACATACATACATACATACACACACTCACACACAAATATATATATGTATACTTATATATATATATATCGAATGCCTGAAATCTATACTTCATCAAGCAGACTACAATACGAGGCATCGCAAGAGTTCTATAACAGCTCACCAATTGATCGTAAACGGCTGGGACTAGGGTGTACAGTCACGACGTCGACTGGAGATTCAGATGCGTGGGTGGCAGCAGGTTGTGAAACTGTAGAATGGTTAAGAATACAGTCATCGTACGTTAAAAGGCATCGATGATATATCAGTAAGTAATCGTATGGCAGGTGAGAAAGTATCTATAATATATTAGTAGGTATTCATATGATATGTTTGAAAGTATCTATGATTTACTTGTAGGTATCCGTTTGGTATGCTAGAAAGTATCTATAGAATATTAGTATGTATCCGTATGGTAGGTTAAAAGTATCACGAAAGTACACATATACAACCATATACAGCTATGTATATACCTGCACTTGGTACATCCAACGGAAGACACAGTACCCACCTGCAGCCAAAGTGGACACCATAGTCGACAGCATATCCGACAGAAACCCAGGCCATGCGCGTTCAAAGTGGCCCAGAGCTGCCGACCACGCGCGCAGGTTCTTTGGGTCTGCGTCGATGCACTCCACACCCAGGCCAAGCAGAGATGCCGGGCGCATTCTATAAATAGAACAAATGATAGGGAGGCGTATAGAGAGATAGAGTGAGGGAGGGTTGAGTCATCTGACTTATAATATGCGACAAATAGGCATCGGCCAAATTTTGGGATCTGTGGCAATGAATGCACCCCACACCAAGCGCAAGTAGCGAACACGGCGAGGTCTATAAATATAATGGTGTGGATTGGCGGATATAGTATACTGGTACTATAGGGGTCGTAGGGTTTATAGCTGATAGACTTTAGAGGTCAAGGTTTAGGGTTGAGCTTTTGGTATTGAAAGTGTGGTGAGAGGCTTATGGGACTCGGCTGAGAGTAGGGAATGTTACTCGAGGCACGGGAAGCAGACATCCTATGCCCCGCGCCAGCAGGAGCTCTAAAGCAACTGACTAGTCTGTCACAGTCAGGTACTTGCAGCGGCGAGTGGTATGACCAGGAACTAGTTAGAAAAGAAAAGATGCACTCAATACCAATCTACAACAGGTTGTAGCGAATGGGATACGGATCAGTGCATCATAGTACAATGAAGCTGGTACAGTGTTCCCTTGGCCCCGTGGTTGGCAGACATCTTCGGTAGCAATCCATCGAGCAGAGTGCGATCCAACTGAACAATACCTTACACATGGGCTGAGCAGATCACACACCACCACCACCACCCAGAGACAGTATAAACCAGTCCCAACACCCACAAAGAACATACACCACAACCAACACACACACAAAGACCCACAGAGAATATATACCACCCCCAACACACACGCACCTCTTATCCACAGGGACCATCATGCCCGTCTTCAGCAGCATAGGAATGAGCATCTCACATGCCACTCCGCGAGACCCACACAGTCGCACCACCTCGTCCAGTGCCGCTGTACGGTCCTCGAACAGAGCACGCACACTAGCTGTGTTGCTAGCAATGGGCTTTTTAGTGGGTTTCACGGTCTTAGCCTTTTTCTTGCCTGTGTACGAGTGTATGTTCGAGTCCGTGAGCTATTGTGAGCAAATGCATATATATTAGAGAAGATTGTACTTAATAACACCCGCCTTAGGAAAAGTCATCACGTCTGTATTTCCATCGAAATGAACATCAAAAGTTAAGCTGATCCTAAAAGGTAAAAAAAAGTACAAATACCTTTCCCAGCCGGGACTGTTTGTGAACTGGTTGCCATGGTAACAGCCTCGGCGTCGGAGAGCGCGGAGAGTTGTACTTCAATGGATGTGTAGTGTTTGAGGGCGGCTTTCAGCAGCGCTTGTAATTCGGGTTCGTACCGCGCCTGGGTTTCCCAATAGCGGAAACGAAGCCATTCCAGTATGAACCTGTATATATATATGAACTAAGGTCAAATATACAACATAACTAGATAAAGAGTATAGCTTAGCATGTGAACACAAAGAACAATAGGTATGCATGTCAAACGCATACACCAATCATTTGGGCACGACAGTCCTAAATGCTAGGACTGTGAGATAATGAGATACACTATTTTACTACTTGCATGGCGTACGAATGCATCATCATTATCACCCACGTGTGAGCGATTATCATCATTATTACACTCGTATGGGCAGGTATCATTAGTGAAAATAACCTCGATGTGAGAATTATATGCATGCGAGGTGTTCACGTATTCTACATTTGATAGTGGACGCCCATTGTGTACGTATGTATGAAAAAAAATAGTTTGGTAAAGAAAAGACACGCACACACGCACATACACACACACACATATATATCTACAGATTTAGGAAGCAAAAATTGGCCAGAGCAATCTAGAGTAAAGTGGGGGTAAGTTATTTGTATTCAGGCTCGGTCTACTGTTAGCTTGCCGATTTAATATATATTGATCACTTTACGAAAGGTCAGATATCAGATCCGCATACGTTTACAAACCGTGGCCATTATCTAGAGTGCTGCAATCTATAGCGAACCACGCAACATACTTTCCCGTCATCCTACACGATGCGAGCGTAGGTAGGGCTGTGTGTGTTGCATCGTGTCTGAAGTCTACTACCCATTCGGGCAGTCCTAGTTCATTTGCCAGAGCACTGACTGATCGAGCGTGCACACCTTTCTGTACACTGTCTACCATCCCGTTGACAAAGCGCACCACACTCATGGCGTACATCAGCCGTATGGCTTGACTCGTGCCGCCAACCTGAGTGGGTATATATGCAATATTTGTGAGCGATTTTAAGGGCCCTTATGTGTGTGCAATGTGTGAGAATAAGAATGTAGTATCAAGTGGATAAATTTGTGATATATATAAACAACAAACACAAACGTG